GCAACATTCGTGTGACCTTCGCGTCACACACACATACGAACTATGGTGAACACGGTCCTCTCTACAACCCCTCTACCACACCCGCACCCTCTCAGACGCATCTCAGTCACGTTTTCGCCCGGCCCCTGCGCCCTCGAGTTCCTCAATGCGACCTCGTAGCCTCGCCACGGTGAAGCTGAAGAGGGAGAGGACGATTCCCGAAAAGAGGAGGTAGGCATTCCGCGTCATGCGGAAGAACTCGATCTTGTCGGCGTCCGAGGGGTGACCGGTCTTCATGGGGATCCTCCACACATCCACCTGCCACCTAACGTAGAAGTACAGGGTCGCACCCAGCGTGGCACATCGTCCGGGAAGGCTGTCCACCGTCCTGAACAAGGGCGTGAAGACCACTGCAAGGACGAGAAGGGTCAGGAGCCCGATGACGGCATAGTCGGTTTTGTTGAAGATGCCCTCGACTACGTGAAGCACGTCCATCCTGCCTCGACTGAGGCGTTTGCGCGCGCGAGAGATTGAGAACCGAATTGAGGGTCGCAGGGTCGCCCCTCGAAGCTTGAGCCAGCGCAACAAGGTCTTAAAGAGGTTTGTGCCATCCCACGCCTGCATATGCACTGCATATCAACCACGGCAAGAGCAGCTGGCACAAAAGGCAGGGTTTACGGTTGAGGCTTTAGGGGTTACGGCTTAGGGTATAAGGGTTCCCATTCCACATGCGGATGTGAGATGATGTGAGGCCTGAGAAAGAGAGCAGGTCGCTCGGAATCTGGTACTTGATGAAGAGCTGCATCAGGTCTTGCGTCAGCTTGATCTCCTGCAGCCCTAAACCCTAAACCCTAAACCCTAAACCCTAAACCCTAAACCCTAAACTTGCCCTAAACCCTAAACCGTGTCCTTTGTGAGGCTGTCATTGGGCAAGTTCAGAACCTTGAGTCGAGGAGACAAAGAGCGTGGAACCCGAGCTATCTCAGGTGAATTTAACAGTCCTTCATGGGGATGATAGGGTTTAGGGTTTAGGGTTTAGGGTTGAGGGTTGAGGGTTGAGGGTTGAGGGTTGAGGGTTGAGGGTTGAGGGTTTAGGGTTTAGGGTTTAGGGTTGAGGGTTGAGGGTTGAGGGTTGAGGGTTGAGGGTTGAGTGTTTTGGGTTTTGGGTTTAGGGTTTAGGGTTTAGGGATGGTAGTACCTTGGGATGTTCCCCCTTATACTAGCAGTCCTTGATAGGGAGCAGAATAACCCCCTATGAGAATCCCGATCACGGACTGTTAGTATAAGGGGGAACATCCCAAATAGCACCCCCTATTCTAATCCCGATCAAGGACTGCTATAGCAAGGGGGGAAACATGCCAAGTCCAGTTACTTTGCGGGGTGTCGTATTTATAGGGGGGTGGGTGTTAGGATGTTGTTCTTACTTTTTTTGTTTTTTGTTTTGATGGGGGGGGAACAGCGGACCCTAAACCCTAAACCATAAACCCTACACCCCACACCCTAAACCCTAAACCCTAAACCCCTAAACCCTAAACCCTAAACCCTAAACCCCTAAACCCTAAACCCTAAACCCCCAAAAGCCTGCTGTTGCAAAAGCCAGCCGGGGAGCCTTCTCCAGCTGTGGCTTGATGTGGACAATCACCAGGCCAAACCTAAATCATTGTTGTTATTACTATTAATAGTTAATTAGTACTATTTTTGTTACTATCATTGTTGTTATTATTATTAATAGTTAATTAGTATTATTGTTACTATTATTGTTGTTATTATTATTGTTGATATTTTCGCTATTATCATTGTTATTGTTAGGATTGGTATTATATGTATATGGATTTTCAATGAACATTGGGAACCCTAGCAAAGATTGTAACTTTAGCTGTTAGTTAGGAATTACAACTAGAAAACTAATACTGAACTTGGGAACCCTAGCAAAAACTGTAACTTTAGCTGTTTCTTAGGATTTACAGCAAACTTTAAAAGTTCACGTTAAGAAAAGATTCCCAAGTATCTCTAAGAAACAGGGTGCTCTCCAGCTGCATAGAACGGATCGCCTTCGCGAACTTCTGCTGCTCCGGCGACAAGGACTCGATGGCATCGCGGAACTCCTCAGACTCTCTGCTCACGCACACAGAAGATCATGCTGAGGTACCAAACACACACATAAATATATATATATATATATGTGTGTGTAATATCTATCTGCGATGAGATCTATCTATCTATCCATCGCTCTATCTATGTGCATATGTATGTATGTGTGTATATATATAGATAGATAGATAGATATAGATATATAGATATATGTATGTGTGTTCAAAGTACATGGTAAAATAGTATTTTCACAGTTACTCCCGCTCTCAATCATCACCCCTGACTCCTGAACATGTTCTTGTTCCAAAATCTGGTGCGTGTTTTGGGGTGCCTTGATAAGAGGCCCGTGGTATACTAGGGGCGCCGCAGAGGGCATCTCGTATCTTCGGGAACGCAGAGTACCCCCATGCAAGCCGGCAGTCGCGCGGTGTCGGGATCGTCGACAGCTTGAGGGGAATGGACAATTCGTCCTCCCGCAAAGCAAGAGGGGGGTGCAAAGGTCCCGAGCTAGGGACTCGAGTTTGAGGGTTTGGGGTCCTGGGGTTTAGGGTCTCAGGGTTATAGGGTTTAGGGTTGAAGGGATCGGGATTCAACGTAGTTGCAGTGCAGTCTGTCAGAATCTCACGATGCCAGGCAGACGTATGATTACCAGCCCCAAGGCGACAAAAACATGCATTCTGCGCCCTGTATTTGTCAGCAGAAGTTGCACACATGCTCTGTGCTGCCTGCGCCAATGACTGCATCACCCTTGTCAGATCTACACATTCGCGTGCTTCCAAACGAGCCCCTGAGCTTCTCTCCCTTCATTGACTCGTTCTTACCCGCCATGCAGCTAGCCACCTGCTCCCCTGCTCGGAGGTTCAGGGTCCTATAACCCCAATTCTAACTGCGCTTATAAGCCCCCTACAGTAAGTCCACTTAGTAGGTTATAAGTAGATTTAGAATTGTGAACCTCCAAGTGCTGTCAGCAAGGTTTAGGGCTTTAACAATCGCACATATCCCTAGAGGCCCCAGATGAAACCTCCTCCCAAATGGGTTTCGGGCGTCACTGGGTCTCCATACTCATCCTGTCCCCATGTGGTGCCGAGGTACGGTTTCGGGCATCACCTGAGCTCCTTTCTCACCCTGTTTCATTTTGTTTAGGGTTTAGGGTTTAGGGTTTAGGGCTTAGGGCTTAGGGCTTAGGGCTTAGGGCTTAGGGCTTAGGGCTTAGGGCTTAGGGCTTGGGGCTTGGGGCTTAGGGCTAGGGCTTAGGGTCAGGGTTCAGGGCTTCGGGCTTCGGGCTGGGCATTTCATGTTATTTTTCCTGGGTCGAAGGCTGCGCAGTGTCGCCTCTCGCCCTACTCAACTCACTCCTTGAGGTTTAGGGTTTGAGGCTTTGGTTTTGAGATGGGCTGCGCAGGTCCTACACACCCCGATACGTACCACGCTTCTTGCTGTATACTGCTTGTTATTAATAGTGCAAGTGTTATTGCTTTTCGTATTGTTGCTAATATGGCTATGACTAGTGTTGCTATTGCTATGGGCAGCCCTAAACCCTAAACCCTAAACCCTTAACCCTAAACCCTAAACCCTAAACCCTAAACCCTAAAAGGGGCCGCCTTTTGGGAGGTGGCCAGCCTTGTTTTGGACGATGAAGGCGTGCTTGGGATCGAAGGCCGTTGAAGAGATGACACGCCCGACAAGGACGATCCTGGGAGCCCGGAAGTCTATCAGGGTTTAGGGCCTAGGGTTTAGGGCTTCAGGGCTTTAGGGCTTTAGGGCTTAGGGCTTTAGGGCTTAGGGCTTAGGGCTTAGGGCTTAGGGCTTAAGGCTTGGGAGCACAAGGCTGCATCGGCATGGAGGTTCAGGGGCACTTGTAACCTCCAAATATATCTGCACTTACGAACCCCCTAAGTCCCCGAAGTAGGTTATCGGTGTAGACTTATAACGTGGGGTTAGAAGTAACTGCACTTATGAACCCCCTGAGTCCCCTAGGTTCTAAGTAGACTCATAAGTGGGGTTTTTTCAGTACCGATGAACCCCCTAAGTCCTTTAAGTAGGTTATAAGTTATAACGTGGGGTTGTAAGTACCCATGAACCTCCAAGTGCCGCTGGGCCGTCAGCAGCCGAGAGTCATGGAGCTGAACTGGCGAGCCCGCGCGACCAGGGAGAAAGAGCTGCTGGCTTGACCCGAGAACCTGGGTTTGGGGTTTGGGGTTTGGGGGTTTGGGGGTTTGGGGTTTAGGGTTTAGGGCTTAGGGTTGAGGGTTGAGGGTTTAGGGTTTAGGGTTTAGGGCTTAGGGTTGAGGGTTTAGGGTTTAGGGTTTAGGGTTGAGGGTTTAGGGTATAGGGTTTAGTGCTGAGGGTTTAGGGTTTAGGGCTGAGGGTTTAGGGTGCCTTGTCAGGCATCACGAGGCAGGGCTCCATGCAACGGAGGAGCTGGTGCGACAAGAACCCATGCACGTAGTGCTGGCCAACGAATGACACGCTGGAGGAAGCATTCCTTGCGGGGTTTCGGGTCTAGGGTTTTGGGGTTTAGGGTTTAGGGTTTAGGGTTTAGGGTTTAGGGCTTAGGGCTTAGGGCTTAGGGTTTAGGGTTTAGGGTTTAAAGGGACCATAGAGGAATATTGTTAGTAATTATTCCGACCCCTATATTACCCCCGACTCGCCCTTTAACATTGGAACCCCCTTAGTAGCCAATGGTTGAGCTTAGCAATGACATGATGAAGTCAGGGACATGCTGCTGTCACGTACACTAAGTGGTAAGCCTTTTGCACGACTCACCAGCGTCCCATCTTGCCACAAACCTTCATAACCAGACTCACAGAGAGCGTGAAAGACATTCTACATATCCTGTGGAGAGCACGCTTGCGCCTCTGAGCGGAGAAGGCTGCGCGGTGGCTCGTGGCTCTCTCTCAGGTCAAGGGTGCAGAAAGGGCCCAATCACTTCAAAACATGCTGTGTCGAACAACCTCTCCGGCGAGGATGACCAGCGACAACACCGAGGAGATCTGCCCAGGCAGCCGACCCTCGGGTGTCCGCGCGTAGCCGGAGGCATAGTGGACTCTCCTGGGTTGTGCTTCAAACCCTTCGAAAATGACTTGTGAATAGGTTCCCTTGATAAGGAAAGAAGGGACATTTAAAAAATTATCTTATGAGCACAACCCAGTCTCCCAACCACGTAGATGCCCCCCAGTAATGCGCCCATGCCGGCGGACTGCGTGTGGTAGCCGCACAAGAGGAGCAGGGCCAGCGCGAAAGGTGCCGTCTCCAGGAAGTTCTCATGGCCACGGACCTCTACTCCCCCTGGAACCTTAATGAAGAACTTACTTTTAACATCCTCTTGGGTTTTATATAAACAAAAGCTTTTAAAAAAATTCCCAAGGGGGATATAGGGACGACAGCCATGTAAGCCGCGGAGTTGCTGACGCGCAGGGGCGCGTGCGGATACATGTAGGGCAGGGGCACCCCGTGGCGGTGCCTGGCATGCAGCGTCCTCGAGGCGAGCATCAGGTTGACGTAGAGGAGCGCCACGACCTCGAGCGCCACGGCGCGCTGGGCCGCGGCAGCCCCGCCCATGCACGCCTCAACCTTGCCGTTCAGCCCCGCACGGCTCATGAGGCATGCAATGCCTTGGTAGCCCAGTCGCCATATCATAATCAGGGCACCCTTTTTGGGGTTGGTTATTTTATATGGGAGCCCCCAAAAAAAAGGGGGTAAAGGGTACCACTGGGCTACCAAGATGCAGAAGCCCAGGAACATCACGGCTGCAGCTTGGGCTGCCGCTGGAGGAACGGGCGGGGGCGGCTCCGTTCCAGGGAGCCCATAGTTGTACTTGCGATCCTCAGCAAGCTCATCTTGGCTCTCCGCCATCGTCGTCCCTTTGTCAGATTCTCTTCGCGTACTGCTCGCTGCAGTGTCTAGCCACACACTTTCTGGAGCTGCAGCGAGCCCCGGCCCGGATTGCGGAGCTTGAGCCAACTCGACTTCAGACTCCTCAGTGGTGTCTTTTGTTGCCTTCGGAGTCTTGGCATCTGCACAAGAAGCTGAGAACCATGCAGCACATAACATGTACACATCTCCTCCTCATTGTTTTCTGCAGGTGGTGCAAATGCGCAAGAACGCTTCAATCCAACACTTGATCCTGTGAACTACCAAGGCCCCAGCTACTCCAGGCCGACGGCACCACACACACACAGGTTAGTGAATGAGAAGACAGACAGACGAACAGACGGACAGACAGACGGACAGACGGACAGACAGAGACAAAGCAAGCCTGAAAGTGGCAGGCAAGCGTCAGCGCAAACTCCATGGGCCAGGAGGCTTCGGTCTGAGCCACCATGGTTGTGACCGCCTCGGGCGCGTTCGGGCCCAGCTTCTCGATGCTGACGGTGCCTGCACTACTCCTATGCTGTTGGCTAGGAGGGAATGGAGGAATCAGGTGTCCTATATCCCCCCCTATATGATCCCTTAAAGGGTATATACTGCAGGCATGAGGGAAGCTGAGCCCTACACTCCGACAAACCGAAACCCCGAACCCTAAATGCCTTAACCCTGAACTCCGAAACCCTAAATGAAAAATCCTAGGCCCTAAACCTGCTTTCAGGGTTGAAGGCTGGGGGTTCAGGGGCTTCGGGACCCTAAACCCTAAACCCTAAACCCATTCTTTTGGGACTTAAATATGCTTCGTTCAGTTGCCAGCTCAAAGCTCTGAACCGTACACCTAAAGCCTGAGGTAAACACGAGGGTTTGGGGTTAGGATTTAGGGTTTAGGGTTTAGGGCTTAGGGCTTAGGGTCTAGGGTTTTGGGTTTGGGGTTTGGGGTTTGGGGATTCGGCCAGCCCGGGGAACCATTTCAAACCCTAAAGTCATCTGTACGAAGGCGGGTGGCCAACCACCTATTGAATCAAGAGCTCACAGGGGCTAGAAGAGCTTCGGGGGCGGAGGTGCATCCCTCCGCAAAGGCGTCTCTCAAGCACCACGACTCAGGGAAAAACCACGTGTGGGTTTTTTGGTGGTAAAGGTCCTAAAGTTGGGTTCTTTGTGACGGGTGTTTGGAGGTGCAGAAAGGTCATCATGAATGGTCTTTTCCTGCGGAATCTTCTGGGGATGAACACAGTCCAATAATTTGAGCACTTGGTACACCACTTTGAGACAGTTTCTGAGTTAGGACATCGAGGGTGGTTACGGCTATAGTAAGTCAATAGTAATGAGCATACCAGATATCTGCAATGTTGCATCGGCTTGCTTACAGGTCACCAACGAAAAGAAAACTGTCTTGGTCATCCTAAGCCCTAAACCCTCAAAAACCTTCAACCCTCAACCCTCGACCCTCAACCCTCAACCCTAAACCCTCAACCCTCAACCCTAAACCCTAAACCCAAGGGCGTCGCCATTGCGGTCCTGGGACTGAAGCCGAAAACCTCTGAATCCGAACCCCCACATCCT